CTTACATGGGTAACAGCCGGCCTCCGAGGTTCCTTCCATGTTTGGTAATGTGCTTCTGGCTTCTGCAGAGCCGCTGTATTATATTTAATATTATCATATATAATTTTTAATTCACTCTGTAGCTGATTGCCATGGCGATAGATTGCTCACCTATGATTATAAAGGAAATCAGTACGTACAGTGAATTGTAGCAAACTGAAAACCAAGTTATAGTGAACCAAATTTCAATAAATAAAGCCATATTGATCTATTTCATCAAATACTCAAATGACATTTCGACCATTTTCCACGATAATTTGTTGAGCCATCACCCTCCCATTGAAATCTGTTTAGTGCTCTGGAGATGTAGCTGTAAGTAGCCTCATTAATGAAAAACAGCAATAAAACTGCCCATGCAAGAAAAAAGCAGCTGCTCCATATTAACTAAACCGGTTGTTTTATTCTTTTTTTTTTATCTGAGTATCAAAATACAGGAAATGTATACATTATTTCTGTTCGTTCAGAATGACAGACGTCAGCCTGGCCTGCCAGTTACCCAGCTGGCTGCAAGCTAAATCAGTGAATAATTGATATGCAACGGTTTTTAAAAATAGCGTTACCTTATTCTATACAAGTTTGTAATTCTCTGCACAAACAACTAAAGCAAGATTCGTGTTGAACCCAGGGATTTAAACGTTACTGATATTAGAATCAACGCAGATCTGATCACTGCAAAATGTATCAGATAGTCAGTTAGAACCCAATTCCACAGGTTTAGTTAACCTTAGAGACATGAAGGTTATCTCTGGAAAACTGTTCATACTAAGTGTCTCCTTATGGAATCTACCAAACACATGCTTGATATTATATGACTTCCACCACCAAATCTCAACAACATGGCCATCATATTATAAAACTCAACTGACAAACCTATTCAGCTTCAAAAGACACTTTGCTGTCTGCAGCTACTTGTTGTGGTTCTTTCTGTGTTCTCGATGCTTGTCTTTGAATGTTCTCCAAGAGTCTCCCATCTCTTGACTCCTTGGTCTACAAGCATTGGCCGTGCCTGAAATTGTTCTTGCTCGATATCCTGCGTAACTGTCCACTATGACCCTGTTTTGTAGGTACCTGTCTCCTGTAGCCTGTGGTTACATTTGTAATATTTTTTTTAAAGGCCTCATATACCTTTCCTATTGCTATGATTTCCCTTTACTGTTATTATATTTTCTGTGTATTAATTTCACCTGGAATTGCATTTCAGGTCCATTTTTAGCCAAATATTTCCTTGACAGAATGTTCCCTGTATTGTTTGGAAAATATTAACAATTGTAATATGGATTTTGCATATGTCCCCTGTTGATCTGATGCATTTCAGAAATGTATCGACATTTCCATAAACTTTTCTCATTAGCTAGGAAGATTGAAATATCTATGTTAAAGGAACACTATGGGCACCAGAACAACTACAGCTTATTGTATTTGTACAGCTTATTGTATTTGTACAGCTTATTGTATTTGTTCTGGTGAGTTTAATCATTTCCTTCAGGCATTTTGCAGTAAACACAGTTTTTTCAGATAAAATGCAGTGTTTACATTACAGCCTAGGCATAACTCCACTGGCCACTCCTCAAATGGCTACTAGAGGTGCTTCTTGGGGCAGTGTGACTGACATTCGGTGTCTCCACCCTCTGCGTGGAGACACTGAACTTTCCGCATAGAGATGCATTGATTCAATTAATCTCTATGAGAATATGCTGATTAGCCAGGGCTGTGTTTGACTTGTGCTGGCTCTGCCCCTGATCTGCCTTCTTGACAGTCTCTGTCAATCCTATGGGAAAGCATTGTGATTGGCTCAGACCATTACTTCTGATGATGTTAGCATACAGACCAGGGGCAGAGGCAGCAGCTGCAGACCTGAATACATGTAAGAATTTACTATATTTAGGGAGGCAAGGGGGGGTTTTGGCAGGGCTAGATGGAGGTTTTATCACTATAGGGTCAGGAATACATGCTTGTGTTCCTGACCCTATAGTGTTCCTTTAAGTGTTGTTCTTTGTTGATGTTTTATCTCTCTCATTCAATAGCTTTGCTCATCTTCCAGGATAAAATGTATTATTTTTTTTATTTTTTTTTATTGTCTTTCCTTTTTGCAGCTAAAACAAATTCTTAGTTTATTGTTTTGTTTGTGGGCTCGTAGCCACATGAATTTCAAAGTTGTCCTGTATCTCCCAGATTTTTTTCCCCCTGCTGTATGCATTAATGGACTTCCCTTAGCATATCCAAGCTTATTCTCTGACCCAGGTGTAACGAAATCCCTTATTTACAGAGCATACGAACCAGCCTGTTCGGTTATTTGGAGGATTACAACTAAATTTCGTGAAAATAGCGATAAAAGCGAATAAACTACCGAACCACCGACCTCCCACTGAGGTCGTGTGGCGCCTATTAACCACCCAGACTGTTGCGGTTAACCACAGACTAATTGGGGAATAGCTGGTGGTCCGCGTTCGTTTACCGAACACGTGGCAATTGCCATTTTGTATTGTCGAACGCTCAGCGGTAAATGGCGAGGATTCCCTGGAACTAATTTCGGCTACTTATTTTGTCGAACACCGCTGCTACCTCTTCACATCCTCGTTCGTACGGTGGAAAAACACACGAATGAAGGGGATACTACTTCATTCGTGCGCTGAAAGTATGCGAAAATGACTGACCCCAGATAGCTACAGTATGGAACTTGTAGTCGGCTACAAACACACGAACGGCTGGTGAAAGTCAAACTTCAGTCGACGTTTCTGAGAACTGTGTTCGTGGGATCTGAGCGCTATTCGCCTAGAATATGCACTCAGATCCAAGCTATCTGGGGATATGTGGGACTTAAAGTTTATGTTGTGTAAAAAGAAAGTTATAGATTTTTATTCTGTTTTACTGAAATAAGAAAAGCCATGTTTCTTTCTACCTGGAGATAATTAAGGCTCTCTTTGCTACCTTAAGTTAATTATCTCCAAGCTGGAAAAGAGGGGGTGATTTATGGAAAGGGGAGTGCTTATGCTATAGCCACTGTGATTGGCTACTGTGATACTTTTGTCCCAGTCTTCCATCTGGTCCCCTAGGGGAGTGTCCACCAGGTGGGAGACCTGCATAAATACCGGGCGGGTAGCCCACAGTAAATCAGATCGTTTTACCCCTTCATGAAGTCTCGACTCATGTTTGGGGGATTGGGAGTTATAATCACTTCGTTTCAGCTGGATTTCGGGAGAAGCTGCAAGGATCATCGCTGCATGAATAAAAGGATCCTTTACACCAGGTCATTATCTGACTCTTGAAGGCAGCATAGTTATAACTATTACTACACAATTGTCCTTCTTTTCCCCATTAGCACATTTCTTTTCTAAAGCTTGTAGCATATTATTGGCATGTTCATGTATTTCTTGCCCTTTTCCTAAAACTGTTTATACAGTGACCTTAAATGATTTTACACTGGGCGTGTCCTGGACCTTGCCGCGAGCAGACTCATGTAGTGAGAGCTCCGCACAGCTAAGGCCCATATCTGAGCAATTGGAACCCAAACAAATAATAATAAATCTTACTTGAACATCACAGGGCACAATATGTCACAGCCCAAATCCAAAAGAATCACGAGAGACAGGAGAAAGCGCAGTTCTTCACACCACGAGCGGGACAAGCAAAAACTCCGGCCTCCTCTGAGATGGCACAAGATGGCGCCAAGGAGGAACTGGAAAGCTCACAGGCATCTCCTAATCCGGAATCCCCACTGAACCAAAGCATGCTGCAAACTATGCTGGACGGCATGTCTGAAAAGATCCTGCTTTCCATTCAGTCATCCCTGGGGGAGCTGAGAAAGGATCTACAGGACCTGGGGTCCCGGACTTCCCACGTGGAAACGAAGTTAGCGGACTTTGAGGAAGCCCACAACACACTGGCTACCCAGATGGAGGGCCTCTTGTCCCGGATGGAGGGCTACGACCTAACGCTAGCTGACATGGAGGCAGTGGCGGATCCAGAGCCTGATCTCGGGAGGGGCACTTGTAGATTATTTAACGAAATAATCCAGACACAATAACTACTACAGCTCAGTGTAGTGGTTATGGTGTCAATAGTGCCGGGACCCCCTCCTAGAGTAAGTAGTCAAACCGTTTAAGAACAGTTTGACAACTTACCTGAGGTCTGCTGGGAAATGGGGCGGTAGTAGGGCATAGGAGCAGTGGTGTGTGTGAGTGGTGCAATGTGTAAAGGGTGCAGTGTGTGAGCAGTGTGTGTGTGTGTGTGTGAAGGTTGTAGTGTGTGAGTAGGGGGGGCAGTGTATGTCAGGGATGCAGTGTATGTGTGGGACAGTATGTGTGTGTAACAGTTGCAGTGTGTGTGTGAATGTGGGCAATGTGTGTGTATGGGGCGGCAGTGTATGGGGGCAGTGTGTGTGTATGGGGGCAGTATGTGTGTATGAGGGCAGTATGTGTATGGGGGGGCAGTATGTGTGTATGGGGGGGCACCATGGGGGGCAGTATGTGTGTATGGGGGGGCAGCATGGGGGCAGTATGTGTGTGTATGGGGGCAGTATGTGTGTATGGGGGCAGTATGTGTGTATGGAGACAGCATGGGGGGTATTAGTATGTGTGTATGGAGGGGCAGTATGTGTGTGTATGGGGGCAGCATGGGGGGGTAGTATGTGTGTATGGGGGCAGCATAGGGGTGAGTATGTGTGTATGGGGGGCAGCATAGGAGACGAGTATGTGTGTATGAGGGCAGTATGTGTGCATGGGGGCAGTATGTGTATGGGGGCAGTATGTGTGTATGGGGGCAACATGGGGAAATATGTGTGTATGGGGGGCAGTATGTGTGTGGGGGGCAGTATGTGTATAGAGGGCAGTATGGTGGTAGTATGTGTGTGTATAGGTATGGGGGCAGTATATGTGTGTATGGGGGGGCAGTATGTGTGTATGGGGGCTATGTGTGTGTGTGTGTGTTAAGGGTAGGGGGGGCTTTTTTTTTATAATATATATCTTTATTTAATTTAAAAAAAAATATATCCTATGTCCCCCCTCCCTTCTTACCTTTACTGGGGGGGAGGGGGGACATACTTCGATCCCTGGTGGTCCCAGTGGTGATTCCCTGGTGGTCCCAGTGGTTACAGTGAACTCTAGTCCGCGCTCCCGGGCTAGAGTTCACTCTCGCGAGACTTGGAGCGTTGCCGTGGTAACCGCGGCAACGCTCCAAATCTCGCGAGAGGAGGACCCGGAGGAGCTGCAGTCTGAGCTCCGGGTCCTCTCTCCTCCCTCTCACTCACTCCCTCCCCTGCCGGCTGTCAGCACAGTGCCTGCGGACCGGGGAGGGAGAGCTCTGATCTCCCTCCCCGGTCGCAGGCACATTGCAGGGCTAGCAGGGGAGGGAGACCGGCGGATTTCTCGGGGGGGGCAATTCCCCCCGTTGCCCCCCTCCTGGATCCGCCAGTGCATGGAGGACAGGGGCCGTCGGAACAACCTCCGGCTCCGGGGGATAGCAGAAACTGTAAGCATGGCTGATATCGCTATGTACGTGATCCCAAGAGACCTATTGCTGCTGGACCGCGTGCACAGAGCTGCCAGACCAAAGTTCCTACCACCAGAAACACCAAGGGACGTGCTGCTTCGCCTCCACTACTACCACGCCAAGGAGGAAATACTCAAACGAAGCCGTTCCCGCAATGATTGGCCAGAGAGATTCCAAAACGTATCCGTGTATGCTGACCTGTCCGCGTATACCCTGAAACACCGCAGAGCCTTCCAGCCAGTCACGGAGCACCTGAAAGCACACCGCATCATCTATCACTCCAGAAGACGGCCACCGCACCTTGAGCCAATGGGGACTTGAGCAGCAAGAACCGCTGAGACCTCCAGGGAACTTGCCAAGATTCTCCCCAGAATGGAAAAAGCCCAGACGGCGCTGATAGCACTCAGAGACTGTTACCTCCAGCTGCCGTGAGCCAGAGCAAGTACAATTGTCCTTAGGAAAAACAAAAAAAGGGGGGGCTATTTGGTCACACCCGACTGCCTTAGCATTGCTGACCCGCTTGGGCATCCCTCTTCTTAGCGGGCATGGCAAGTCCACTTGCATCACCCTTGCCACTCAGCTAAGAACACACACTGAGAAGGAAGGTGGGTTGACTATATGTACTGTGGTCAGTCCTTTAATTTGTTGCTGGGACAAGGTCTGTGACCTACTGATTCCATATTTACTCCTGTGGTTCACTCTGGAAGACTGCATGGTGGCTTCCCACCCTACTTTAGGGGCTGAGATATCTAGCCTGGGTGGGGGGCCCCCTGCACCCAAGGTTTCAGCTACTGGAGTTGTGGCAGTTAGAGGGTTGCCCGGTAGGCACACAGGACCTGTAATGAATCTAGAGGCTGTTTCACTTTCCTATCTCCCCCTGTGCAAGCTAATTGCTGCCTGTCCAGATATCTGCTCTTACAAGGGGGGCAGAATGGTCCACCCTGACTCCACTGCCGAATGTGCAAGGGAAAATTGGGGGCAGGACGTATCCGAACGTCTAATTATATACCCAGTTACTATGTTTTGGTTTTACTGTAATAATCTCATGCTTGTTCCCATGTTGTGACACTACCCCTGAGCTCAGGTCCATCTCCCACCACAAGGACTCTCGAACGCAATCACTGCTACCCCCTGCTGACAGTGAGACACAGCTTCCTTCAACTAGATCCTTTAATATTTCTTACTTTGCAATACGTTGGGCCCTCCGAATGCAGATCCCCCCAGGACTGGAATCCATAAGCTTCCACCCCCACGGCGCTAATAGCCAGCGCCTAGCCACATTCTTGGCTCTCTTGTTATATACCCCCTGGACTCTGGTTATAGTCCTCTCGTCAGACATCTCCTTGCCCCTGACCCCTTCACCCCTTCCTCTGTTTCCAAGTTCTGGTACCCACGATCGAGTAGACGGCCCAAGGTGCCTACTTATTGCCACACTGAAAGGTCCACAGATCCCCCGTCCCCCTAGCTCATGGGCTGGGCTGCGACGAGTGGACATGCCACTGCCGATACTTCACGGGGGTTTTCCGCTTTGCTCGATGGAGCTGGGAGAAGTGGTGACCCCAAACACACATAGTGATTATTCTAATAAACTGCGATCGCTTATATATGACCCACCGTGAAGTTTTATACCCACAATGTCAAGGGACTGAACGTTCCTGTGAAACGACACTTGCTGGGTCAGGAGTTTCGAGCAACCAGCCCAGATATAGTGTGCTTACAGGAAACCCACTATAGAACAAACGATTACACCCCTATGTTGACTAAAGACTACCCCACTCAGTTTCACGCCACCTCCCCATCCAAATCCAAGGGCGCATCTGTACTCATCAGCAAGAAGGTTACATTCCAACTCCTCACACAAGAGTTGGACACAAATGGGAGATACACCATAGTTGTGGGGATTATAAACGACATCACATACACCATTGCAAACATTTATGCCCCCAACTCAAATCAACGGAATTTCTTTCACAGGATTTTACAGACACTGACAAAACTGCAACAAGGGATAACAATAATATGTGGGGACCTAAACCATGTCCTAGACCCAGCATTAGATACCACCCTTTCGCGTCTCCGGGCCAGGTTCAGGACCCTCAAACGCCAAAGCAGAGCATTACAGACACTCCTTTCCACACACCACTATTATGTTGCCTGGAGAATCTCCCATGGGATGGAAAGGTCTTACACGTTTTACTCGCCCATTCACAATTCCTATTCTAGGTTAGATACCTTTCTTGTGAAGGGATCGAATCGAAACCAACTTGTTAGGTGCGATATCGACCACATCACATGGTCAGACCATGCCCCTGTCACCGTAGAAGTTAAAGACTGTAACAAACCACCTCTTTTACAGGTAGGATTGTCACAGATCTTGCAGTAACCACAGCCTTCTAGGGTATACAAAGTCCAGGACACATTCAGCTCGGTGTTCCTTTTTATTTGATAAGAAAAACAGGTGCTTTAAATAATAACAAACAAACAAAATCCCTTGCTCTTACTTGAGCTCTTACTAAACAGGAATTACTATTTGTAATTGGGTGGCTTTCCCACTTACCAATTTTCCAAAAAAAAGAAATGGCTTTGCAATAAACACAATTGTCATTCTCTCTCCTTCAGCTCTCCTAGCTGTCTTTTTCTCCCTCACTCTGCAGCAGGCTGCCCTCTTCTTTTAAAGGCCTGTCTACTAATTGACTAGCTACAGGTGAGTGCCAATTAGTAAACCCTTAAGTCAGATCCAAATGTTGGTCTGTTACACAGCAACTAGTGCTGTTGGAGCATTGGCCCACCCTGCTGTCCAAATACTCCGCCCCAGGGACCCATACCATGTTTTGCAGAACATCAGCAATGTAGATTGCAAACTTTAACATCTCTCCCTGGGGCATTTAACTGAAAATTCTCAGGTTGCTGTTTAGAAAATCAGGCCTGATGTATCTTCCATCAACCAGAATTCCACTTTTACAGGGTGTTCTTCACCCTGGTATTCCTGTGAAAGAACAGCCCCCAAGCCCACATCAGAAGCATCTGTCTGAACTATAAAATCCCTGGAAAAATCTGGGGTCACCAAGACAGGATGGCTACAGATAGCTTCCTTCAGACTCTTAAAAGCCTTTTCTGCCTCAGGCCACCATTTAACTATGACTGGGGATTTTGCTTTAATAAGGTCTGTTAGGGGTGCAGCAATGGTAGCAAAATCTGGAATGAACCGCCTATAATATCCAATTAAACCCAAAAATGCCTTTACTTGTTTCTTTGTAAGGGGCTGTGGCCATTTTTGTATGGCTTCTACTTTGGCTTCCTGTGGTTTAACCAAACCCCTCCCAATAGAATAACCTAAGTACTTAGCTTCCTCTAAACCAATCGTACACTTGGAAGGATTGGCAGTTAAGCCTGCTGAGCAGATAGCATCAAGTACCGCTTGAACTTTAGGGAGGTGGGATTCCCAGTCTACACTGTGGATGACGTCATCATCCAAGTATGCTGCAGCATAACGAACATGAGGTTTAAGAATTCTGTCCATCATTCGTTGGAATGTGGCAGGTGCCCCATGTAACCCAAATGGCAATACAGTGTACTGAAACAGGCCACTGGGTGTTGAAAAGGCTGTCTTTTCTTTGGCTCTTTCAGTGAGCGGAACCTGCCAGTAACCCTTTGTTAAATCCAAGGTTGTTAGATAACGAGCTTTGCCCAGTCTTTCTATTAACTCATCAACTCTTGGCATTGGGTAAGCATCAAATTTTGAGATGGCGTTTAACTTGCGGTAGTCATTGCAGAACCTCCATGTGCCATCAGGTTTTGGCACCAATACAATAGGACTACTCCAGTTACTCTGGGATTCTTCAATGACTCCAAGTTTTAACATGCTCTCAACCTCTAAGTTTATAACCTCCCTCTGGGCCTCAGGAATTCTATAGGGTTTGAGGTTAACTCTTTTCCCTGGTTCGGTTATTATGTCATGTTTAATCACTTTAGTCTTTCCTGGAACTACCGAGAAAACATCCCTATTTCTTCTGATGAAATCTCTGACCTCTTGCTTTTGATGTACAGAAAGAGTCTCAGATACGTTCACCTCTGGCTCTACTATAGGAGGTTCTGAAGGTTTTAAAGCAACCAGGACCTCCCTGTCCTTCCATGGCTTTAACAGATTTATATGATACAACTGTTCAGGCTTTCTTCTTCCTGGTTGTCTGACTTTATAATTGACATCACTCACTTTCTCTATTATTTCATAGGGTCCATGCCAAGTCGCAAGGAACTTATTCTCCACAGTAGGGACCAGAACCAATACCCTGTCTCCAGGTTGAAACACTCTGACTCTAGCATTACGGTTATAGCTGTTTTTCTGAGCCTGCTGGGCTTCCAGCATGTGTTCCCTGACAATAGGCATGATGGTGGCCAATCTATCCTGCATTTGAGCTATATGCTCAATTACACTCCTGTGAGGAGTAGTCTCCTGTTCCCAGGTCTCCTTAGCAATATCCAATATTCCCCTGGGATGTCTTCCATATAATAAATCAAAAGGAGTGAAGCCCGAGGAGTCCTGTGGAACTTCCCTAATGGAAAACAGTAGATATGGCAATAAAAAAATCCCAATTTCTTCCATCTGCATCAATTACCTTGCGTAGCATACTCTTAAGGGTTTTGTTGAACCTCTCTACTAAACCATCAGTCTGTGGGTGATATACTGAGGTCTTAAGATGTTTAACCTGCAA